CTTAAATACAAGCAGCTGAGTGTTCATCAAGTCACCAATTCGCCTGTTACTGAGAGACCTCCCCCCTGCTAAATAATTAGGGCTCAGGAGTGGCTCATCAGCAATGCAGCCCACAGCATCATGCTCTGAGAGGGCAGCATGGAAGGAGGAGGGTGATTAGGGAACCCCCAGGTCTGTTTCTCCTTTGGAAGAAAACAATGCAATATCTTCAATTGTCTCTCTTGGAACCCTGAGCCAGCTGCTCTGCTGGTTTGTTATGAGTCAAGGGTAATTATTCCACTTTCTGACTGCCTCTTGCATCCAGAGGAGGCTTATTGCAGAGTCACCAGCACAGGGGAGAGCAACTTTCTCCACCTGGGTTGACTCAAATTGCTGAGACAGGAGGTGCCACGGGTGGGTTACACACAGCCAGGAGGTGCCACGGGTGGGTTACACACCACCACACTCCTCAGGCCTTTTGAAACTCCAGAGAAGGGCTGAGATGATTCTGCTTCCACCAAAATCACAGGCAGCCCATGCCCAGGTTGGAGCACTCAACTCATGGACCAACATGAAGCATACCCAAGGCTGAGGGTTCACATCACCCTCCCAGCTCACCAAGGGCAGGCTGGTGATGAGGGAAACCAACCTGCAAAGGTTTCAGCCTGCAAAGGATGAGGAACCACTGGAACAGGAACTGCAGCCTGCCAAGAACAAGGTTTGAGATGGGCTAGGAGAGGACATCAGAGGTTGTGTGCATCTGTAGGTTCTTCCAAGCCCTGCAAAGCAAACACAACCCCAAACGACCCACACAGGTACAGCCACACCCTCCATCCCTTAATTAATTACTCCTTCAACTTCACCAGCCAGCCAAGAGGGTCAGAGAGGTGAAAACATCACCACTTTGAGTTCCCTTCCAAGGATAAAAGGGATTTCCTCCCCCCAGCCCTCTCCTTTAGAGCAGCCTGTGGATGGAGCTGGATAACAGAACACAGTGTGGAGTGAAATATTTCAATCCCCTGAGCTCAGGGGGATCCTGCCAGGCTCAGGGGAGAAGCACCTTGGCAGCTGAGGTCACCTCCCTTCCCCTGGACAAGAAGAAACTGGGAAGGGACAGCCAAAGTAAAGCTGCTTTGAGAAAGAATCACCACACACACAAAACCACCCCAAAACAACCAAACAAAACCCCAAACATAGAAACCTGAGTCTGCAGGGAACAGAGAGAGCTGGGGAAGGCTACAGGAACTGATCCTGCCACGGCCATTCTCCAGCTAATAGATCAGTGCAGCCATGAATTTTCTTCTCAGATACTTCCTGAACTATCTTCCCCAAGAAGAAGACACATACAACCCTCCTGTGCCACCAAGACCAGCCAGAATTTGGAGAGAACTTGGAAGTTTCATTCTCTCAGCATGCAAAAAACCACAGCTGCCATTTGTTTGGTTTCCAACACTGGGGACAGCACTAGGGGAAGGGAACAGATTTCATCAAATGCAACTGGTTTATTTACAGTGCTATGTGCTGTCATTTACTCACTTGACTCCAGGAAGGACAGGGAGTTGTTGTCCTGCTGCCTTCTCCTCCAAGAGCTGAAGCTTCATTTGTTCCCATGAAGACCCTGCAAAGGTTTTTCCCTGAAGCAAATGAGTTATTTCTTTAATGTGTGGCATTTCAGTTCCATTTCATGCAGAAATATGTTTAACCAGCAGTTGCAAGATGCTTTTATGCTGTGTTCTGTTATCTCAGCAGACCTGACTCGAAGTTGCATATGGAATAACTCCTGGGGTTTTGTTGTGGCCAGGGGAGATAGCTGTGTAATGGTCAATCAAAAAAAGCCCCTAGGGATGGGGGAGATTAGCACTTGGATACTGCTGAAGATGAATGGGTGAAATGAGTTTGATAAGCTGGTGGTTTCCTCAGATAGTGGCTCTGAAAGCTTTCTACAGCCCCTTGGTTCCTCCTCCTGGTGTGTTTTTTTTCTGGATACAACAGCAAGTCCTGCTTTGTGAGCAGCAGTGTTGGACAGGCTGCTGCTGTCACTGTTTTTAAACAAACAGAAGTGGATTTCTGCCACATTTCATCACTGTGTATTGAGCACTAACATATCAGTCACAGAAGCAGAGCTTCAGACTGGATCCTTGGCCAACTTGGCCAGTCCTCCCAGCACACACATCACTGAGCACAGCTCAGCAGAGAAGGGACTGAAAGGGGGTGGGATGAGGACTCCTCATGGGACATGGACATCCTTAAATCTTTAATAGCACTTCTTCCTTCAGAGGTCATTAAACCTTGGTGCTCATTAACACACCTTCAGCTCCCTGTCAGCCTTTCTCTGGGCTCTCTCTACCCAGCTCTGCTGCTTCCTCCTCCTGGATCATTCTTCCACAGCTACCCCACAGGATGACCTGAAGAGGAACTTCTAAAACTCAACATGAAACTCCAGTCAAACTCACTCAGACCCCAGGTACTTCCCTCTCCAGGCATGAGGCAAATCCTGCTGCCATTCACAGCCACAGTGCTCATCACTCTGCTAACTTATTCTCAGCCACTAATGAAACTGCAGCCAAGAGGTTTTGCTAGATTTTTATTGTTTCATTGAATAAATGAATTTTAAATACAGAATTTAAAAAAATTTTAAAAAGCTATTATTAAAAGCCAGCATTCAGAAGTAGGTTGCACATCAGGGACTGAAAAAAATTCATATTTACCTTTTGATACAAAGATTAAAAAAAAGAGGAATTTAAAAAGCATGTTGTCTGTCATCTGGAAAGAGACATTTTGGGGGGATTTTTACACTTCCTTTCATATTTGAGAACTGGTATTTGAGAATCTCCCACCAATCTTGTTTTTCACAGCACTTATTCACATTGTTTGGTGTTCAATAAAACCCTGCTCTGTTGTTGCCAGTAGCAGTGATGTAGTGTCTCCACCTTGGATGTATGTAAGCCAGTATGTTTAATAAAACACTCAGCATAGGAGGGATGGGGAAAAAAATGCAGCATTCTGTGATTTCCAGCAATGCAGTTTAGCTTATGAAGGACC